CTTGATCTCCAACCGAAAACTCCAAATCCTTCCTTCGATTATCTGCATAACTCTTTTGACGGCTCTGGGTTGTCTGAATCTTTTGACGTATTAATTTCACCTTTTCATACGCCTCTTCAATTCATGGTACTGTAGTTAGGTCTAAAATCTTTCTTTCACCTATTTCATCCCAACATATCGGAGATCTACACTTACGGTCATAAAGTGTTTCATACGGAGCCATTTGAATGGGTGAATGGAAGCTATTATTATATGCAAACTCCACCAATGTCAAATACTTACTCCAACTTTCTCCCAAATCCAAAATACAGGTTCTCAACATGTCATCAAGGGTCTGAATTATCCTTTCCGACTGTCCGTCAGTTTGGGGGTGGTATGTAGTGCTAAAACTCAACTTAGTTCCTAGCATTTCTTGCATTTTCTGCCAGAATCGAGAAACAAACCGAGGGTCTCGGTCAAATACAATACTTACAGGTATCCTATGTAGCCTTATAATCTCATCCAAATATAACTTTGCTAATTTCTCCAACGGGTACTTCATACTAATCGGCAGAAAATGAGCCGATTTAGTCAATCTATCTATTATTACCCAAACAGTGTCATGATCTCTTTGTGTCCTTGGTAATCCAAATACAAAATTCATGGTGATATTTTTTCATTTCCACTCGGGTATCTCTAAAGGTTGTAGTAAACCAGACGGTTTCTGATGCTCGGCTTTAACCTGCTGGGAAATCAAACAAATATGGACAAACCAAGCAATTTTCTTCTTCATGTTCTCCCACCAGTACAGACTCTTCAAATCTTGGTACATTTTATTTCCTCCAGGGTGTACCGTGTACTTAGATCGGTACGCTTATTCTAAGATTTCCCTTTTTAGCCCTTTATCCTTTGGCACCACTATGTGGTTTCGAAACCTTAGTACACCATTTATTCCTAGATTAAAATTTGACTTTTCCCTCTTATTAACTTTTTCCAACCACTTTTGCACCTCAGAATCCTTCTCTTGTGCCTCCTTGATACGATCCAACAAAATGGATTTCACGACAATGTTCCCAAGAATCACTTTTCTCGGTTTGAGACGAGGGTTCCAAATACTAATCTCTTCCAACAAGTGCAATTCTTTAATCATCAATCTTGCTACTTGCACTTGGCAACTTAAAGCATCGGCCACTACATCGGCACTTGTCTTCTAGGAGTTAAATCTATTTGGGATCACTTTATGGAACAATTTCAAATCAAATCTGTCCATACCTTCATGGAATTTGTCTTCTAGGAGTTAAATCTATTTGTGATCACTTCATGGAACAATTTCAATTCAAATCTGTCCATTCCAATGGGGAATTAATTCAAACTCACCATGAAGGGAGAATTTCAGATTTTGATTCTTATTTGCCACCTATGGTTCATTCATCATCTTTACCTTCTTTTGAGCATAATTTCCATCCTAACACTTGTATTTCTTATGCAAATTTTGAATGAAAGTGTAAAAAGCGAGCAATGCTTTCTCAAGTTGAAGGAATAATGAAGTGTCAAAGGGAGTTTTCGCATTTAAATCTTGTTCTATACCTTGTTACCATTTAGCTAATAATGTTCCATTGCTTCTTTATCCAATTTCTAATTTGTTTCAAGTTGAAGGTTATTTTATTTTTATAGGTTGTAAAGCTGCCTAAAATTTTTCAACTTTGATTAAAGACTTGCAACTAGATTTCATGCTTTTTTCAGCTAAAAATGGTGATCTTTCATGCTTATTCACACATCCAAAAGCTGGTGGCCAAGTGCTCAATTTGTCAACTTCAACTTGTGCTAGTTCAAGTAACCCTCATGAAGTGAAATTCAAATGTTTGCTGCCTCATATATTGGAAGATGAGAACTTGAGTGTCAAGCAAGATCCCAAAGCTGTCCTTCACGAGTTATTTAGTGCCTCATCCATATAACAAATTGCTCCCGTTTTGTCCATGCAAGATGATCAAAATCAATGTCAACTAGTGATGGATTTTACACCTTTGCACAATCAAAGTCCCAATGTGCAAATCCACGACCAAAGGCTAACAAGAGAGCTTTGGAGTGCAACCTGGAATTTCCACAAGTTATACACAAGTTGGTTCTTGTCTTGGCAAATGTCTTTGTTCGAAAGCAACCTGAGGCTGACCAAACAACATATGGTTTGGCTCGTGGTCCTTCATCTATTCTCAACGTTACTGTCCTCTAACCGCACCGTCGATTTGTGGACAAATCACTTTTAAGAGGAGGGGAATGATGCAAACATGAAGAACCGGCTCCCTTCGAAATCTATAAAGATTATTCAAAGCTGAATTGATGGTGTTACTTTACTACAACTTGTTGTCATTCATAAAGAGTAGAAGCAAGTTAGTTTAGTTAGTTGTTTTGTTAGTAAGTGATGTCGTTTATTGGTAGTGTCAAGTGAAGGGTTTAATTGTCAATTTAATTGCGGTTTTAGTGGTGTAATTATAGTGTTAATATTCGGCCAGCTTAGTCTTCAAAGAGGCCAAATCTTAGTTGGATTTTTAGTCCAAACCACATTAGGGTTTGAGTCATTGTAAGGCTATAAATAGCCTAGTTTTTCCAATGTTTATCATTATCGAGAATTTTTCAGAAATATGTGAGTTATCACTTTTTTCTTGCTCCAAGAGAGCCCTTCTTGAATACTTGAGAGTTCTCTTGAGTTATTCAATTCAAACTTATCAATCAAGTATCCACCTTGGTTGTGGCGTTCTTCTACCAATACGTTTGGTTCACTAAATCATTTGATTGTGGGTTGAGATTCGATTCAAGGTTCACAATCTTAGGGTTTAGAAGGGTCAAGTGTTATTTTGCAATCAACTTGATTTCTTCGTCTAGATCCTGGGCGTGTGGGATACGAGTTCATACCTTCGGGCGGGCTCGTATATTTGTGTTTGTTTATTTGTTTTTTGGTATCCATCTGTGGTTAAGTCATAGAAGAGTCGTTAAGGTTTCCAATTCCTAGCCTACTTAGGTTTAGTAAATCTGTGACTTTTCTTTTCCCATTGTGTTCAACTTTCCTTTGCTGTCCGATTCGTAGCATCTTCGGGAGTCTATTAAAGCTATTATTTCCAATCCTTAATTGCCTGGGAAAAAGGGAAATTTTCAGAAATTCTAGCTTCCAATTCCAGCCATAAGGAAATCTGCCCAACCGCAAGTTTCTTTTGGCCAAATCTCGATTCGAGGACAAATCGCTTTCGAGATGAGGGGAATGATACGAGTAGTAGGACCATCACTAGCTCGAGTCAAGATGGTTGAGAGCCTTTTCAACCCAATCCATGATATTCAAGACTCCATTGGAATACATGAAGTCGTGGAGGGGATGGAGCGCCAGCTATGTGATCTTCGAGTTTTTAATTTCTTTTGTTTTGCTTGATTTTTTCTTGTTTAGTTGATTAGTTAGTCATTATTATGAATAAATATGGCCAGCTATGTGAGTTATTTGAGCCATTTAAAAGTAGTTAGAAAAATAAGTGACTAAATTCTTGTCCAAACTGGATTAGTTTTAGTATTTTAGGTTTAGCTATAAATAAGCCTCTTCTATTTCATTGTAAGACAACTTTTTTTAGAGATGAATTAATAAAAGTGAGTTTTTCTCCTTTTATGGAGTTCCTTGATGGAACACGAAGTCCTTCTTGAACTGTATCCAGTATTTAGTTTGGTGATCAAGGCAAGATGATCACATCATCTTGTTCTTTCAAACCAATAACCAATCTACTAGGTTTCCAGAAACAGATTCTCTTTAGGCCTAGTAAGGTAGTTATTGTTCCATAACCTAGTTAAAATAGATCCTTCCACTGCCTAATCGATTCGACTTCTTCTCGAGCGGTCCTTGGAGAATCAAGTTCGTATCAGTTTAATTATTATTTGTATCCTTTTAGCCCTCTAACCCCTTCTGTCAATTTCAACTATTACTCCTAATGAAATCTTCCTTAAAATGGCATGATTTTGATTATCTTCTCCAATCACATCTAATCACCACTACAACTATGACATGCCAATCATCGGCCATTGATCGTTGTTGATCACTACTCTAGTGTTATCAAATTTAGATGAAATTACACTTTTAGACTGTTTTTTAGTAGATTCAAAATCTGGACTCAAATTTATATGAATATTGCTAGTTTTGAATAGATTTTTGCTTGTGTATTGTGCATGGTGTAGTGTTCGTTGGGTTTAATAGTTTGAATAGAAAAAATGATCAGAAGTATTTGCTTTTAGGAGTTTGAGGGTTGAAAATATACAAATAATTGCTGGAAGACTAAAAGTGTACTGACCTAATAGTTTGAAGGGCAATCAGATAATTTGCTCTAAATCAATACACCTCTTAGATTTCTGTCACTTCCAATTTTATGAGATGTCCCAAGGGACCATCTGTGGTTACCTAAACAGTATACTTCTCATTTTGTTTCAGTCACGTTCCAATTTTGTGAGATGTCCCCGAAGGGCCAGTCATGGTTTTACACCACTTTCGTTTCGGTCATTCAAGTGTCCATAAGGAAACAGCTCAACAAGGATCCGTCTACGGTGGGTAGTTTACAGAATTAGCTACATAACGAAAGGCTATTGTGTGCAATGAGAGATTGACAGCTAAGCGTGCTGTGAAATCAAGTGTATTTGTGGTGCAAAATGCAAAACAGTTGCAACAGAAGAGCCACATACGAGTTCGTCAAAGGGGTGGGGTCGAAAAACGTGAAGTAAGCAAAGAAATAATAAAGCGTGCGTTTAGATAGTAAATTATTTGAGATAATTTTACGAAAAAAATTACTGTGCTACTTTGGCTGTATTTTGTTTTGGTTTGACATATGCAGAACAAATCCAGTTAGGTTTCGCCTACGGATTCGAATTTTTTATCCAAGTTCCAACAGGTTTATAACACTTTCTCAATCCTATATAATTACATAGCAACCTTGATAGTACTACGTAGTAATATTACATGCCTCACGGATTAGTTAAAACATTTTGTTTTCTGAGCAATAATGGCTGTCAAGGGCTTGAGCATTGCTGCTATTTTCTTTGTTATTGCATCTGCTTTGCTGCTTCTTTCTCCTTCACCATCCGTTGATGCTAGTCCTCTCCTGAGTGCCTGCCATTTTGATCAAGTGTACCAACTTGGGGACTCCATATCAGACACTGGGAATTTGATCAGGGAATCTCCACTTGGAGCCGCTTTACCTTTCGCCAGAAACCCCTACGGTCAGACCTTCTCCCACCGCAAAGCCACTGGTCGTTGCTCTAATGGGCTTCTTATGATTGACTACATTGCCCAGGCGCTGGGTCTACCTCTCGTGAATTCGATCAAGGACACAAAGGAAAATTTTGAGCATGTAGCAAATTTTGCCGTAGCCGGTGCTACGGTACTATCATCAGCTGCTCTTGCCCGTCATCATGTTAGAAATCCAGTGACCAGCAGTTCCCTTGACGTATAACTTCAGTGGATGAAATATCACTTTCACAAATTTTGCCACAACGATTGTGAAAGGAAGCTTCAAAACGCTCTATTTATGGTGGGTGAAATCGGCGGCAACGATTATAATTATACATTCCTTCAATACTTTGATGAGGCTAGAGATACGCTTAGGATTCAAGACTTGGTACCTCTAGTTGTTGCCAAAATTAAGCATGCTGTTGAGAAAGTTATTAGTTTTGGAGCAAGGACAATAGTGGTTCCTGGAAACTTTCCGATGGGTTGTCTGCCAATTTATCTTACAAAGTTTGGGCTAGAAAGTGAAGTAGACGAGTTCGACCAGAATCATTGCATATGGCTGTTAAACAGCTTTGCAACTTTCCACAATGATCACCTAAAGAAGGCGATTGCCAAGCTGCAAGAAGAGTACCCACATGTAACAATCGTCTAGGGAGACTACTGCGCTGCATATGAACAGCTTCTCAAACTAGGTGAACCTAAAGGTTTCGAGCTACACAAAGCTTGTTGTGGAGTTGGATGGCTGTACAACTTCAATCAGACACGGATGTGTGGATTTCCAGGTGTTACGACTTGCCCTGATCCCGAAAGATACATCAGCTGGGATGGAATTCATTTAACACAGGAGGCTTACCGCATGACAGTGGATTGGTTGCAAGCTGATCTTTTCTGGAAATTGCGCTGCCATCATTGAACAAGTCTATAACTTTATTATGTTCTTCAAGCTCCTAGAGTGGTACTTTACTTCATGCCGAATTTGCTTTTTCAATCCAGTAGTTTAGTTTAGCTAATGGGAAGCCCTTGTGACGGACTAATTTCGTCACCAACTGTTTCAGCACTTACTTTTTGAAAGTTCAGTTTTTATCATTCTAGGTTCAAGATTATGAAAATTTTATCAAGTTCTTGGCGAAAAAAAAATATCGATTATATTCAATTATTCACATCTAAACATATATAAAATACTCAGAAATTACATATATCATAAATACATACTTATATATAGAAACATACATGAATAATGAATCACCTCACACACACATATATATAAGGATATAAATCAATTGATAACATGCATACGTATTAAAAAAACGTCTACATTGAATCAAAGTGTAGAAAATAATCGGTAAATGAAGTTATATTATACTTGTAAAATTAATCTTATCTACAATAACATATTATCTTTTAAGCATAAGTATACGTTACCATAATTTGTTTGGTAAATTCACTAATTTGTAATTACAAATCCATTGTTTAGTTAATTTGGCAGTTTTTATTTTTTGTAATATACGCAAACTCAAATGCACCACACTATCAACTGATTCTTGTTTGTGTGGCTTTTCTTATTTATAAAATATTTAAATGTCATTTGACCTCAATTTATTGTTTCAATTCATATAAGATTTTAATTTTAAAATTTACATTTTAAATGCAGTTTGCCCTCCTTAAAAATAGCATAATCGGCCCCAAATAATTTCCATCCTCCCCACAGCCCTCCCGTGCCCCTTCTTTTCATTTCCTGAGATTTGTTTACTATGTTGGCCCCACTCATTGTAGCCTCGGCGCTTTTAGTCCTGTGAACTACCTTCTGCTTTCGGATGTCTTGTGAATTTTTTGAACCATGTACCATTGATTCCTAAACCACACAGCCAAACTTCTTTTTATTTTTTTGGTAAAAAAACATTGGGTGAGTTCGGCTCCGGTCACCACTATATGATACAATCTCTGTTGCATATGAAGCTCGTGATCAACAAACCCGGATCGTGATGGTGATATTCAAGTTTGGCAACGAAAAATCTATGATCCAATCTAACTCCCGAGATGCGAACTTCTTGATATTATCTCAACCCACAACCTAATGAGTTAGCGAACCGAGATTTTGGTAGAACGGTGTCACAATCAAGTGTGATTCTTGATTGATAAGCCAAGGTTGAACACTCAATAGAACCTCTAAAGTATTCAAAAGGAGCTCACAAAAAAGCCAAGAGACAACCTCTCAATTTGGCTGGAAAATTCGATTTATTATTGGAAAAAACGTTTTTAACTCTTTTATAGAATTTACAAGACACTTAATCAACTCCAACTAGGAAACTAGTTGACCATTCGGCCCCCTAAGTCTTCCCTAAGTTGGCCAACCCTAACAACCTCAAAAATGACTAGAAAAGTCATGAAAAATAACTCAAAACAGCAACTAAATAATTTGGCATGCATCTAAGACAAAAGCTAGCCGAATGCAATATTTAAACAACGACTAAACAAATGACTCTAGGGACTAGCTTGCTGGATCACTTGAAGTAATGTAACAATTGAATGTTCTTCTTGATTAAGATCTTCAACCATCTTTGAACCTTCAATTGATTAACGAATAACATGAACTAATGTGTTGATTTGGTTGTTAAGCTTGGTTTGCGAGTGAGCCAGTAACGGAACCAAATTGAATTGGATCATCTTGAACTTGACCGGCAACTTGCATGTCCTCATCATTCCCTCCCTCCCTCTTGAAAAGATTTGCCCTTAAATCTTGGGGAAAAATGTTAATGATAGAAAGAACATTGCACATCTTCCACCTGGATAGAAAACCACAGTAAATAAGCAAATGGAATCTACGGATCCAATGTTGAAACCCCCGATATCAGTGTGCTTAGATTGAAGCAACCATGGATAAGTCACGGCAACAACAGCGACACTTTTTGCATGCCTTTTGCATATCTTAGATTGAAATAAATGATGAGCAGCGTGCTTCCAAAATTCTTTAGAGTACCAATATTGTGGCAATTGAAACGCCTTAAAGAAAGTAGTGCAAAAACCAACATCTTGCAATTGATTGACACTGACACGTGCAATGCATCCACATGCCTTGGAAGTAAACTCCTCAATTGCCTTCACTCTTGGCAAATTAGAAGCTTTAAAACCATAGGCAGTCTTGGCGGTTATCAGCTCATCGGATATTGCAATTGCTTTCTTAACATGCATAAAACAACGAGCACTAGACAAAGCAATGTTAAGGTTGTTAGAAAGGCAATAAGTCCCCTCACTCTCATTTTTGTTAACACTCAAAGTCAGCTCACTTTCCCTCTTTTCTTCCTCTTTCTCATTCAACACTCTAGATTTTTCAATCTCTTGCTCACTCTCAAGTATTACATCATTGCTTACACACTCATGTTGTACGTCACTGGGCTCACATAAATCTTCAACTAATTCTTGATTTTGAACTAGTGTAGGTTGAAGTTCACGAGCATCAGCCTCAACACAATCCTCTTTAAGAGATTTTTGAGAATTGTAATCAACTTGCTCCTTCATTTCTTTTCTCGAAGGAGGCGTTGGTAAGTCTCCCACCACGACTCCTCCTTAGATGGCTCCACATCAACCTTAGACTTATCGGATTCTTCCACATGTGCTTTTGCCCTTAGATGATTTGGAGTGGCTTTTAGTGTTACAGGTTCTATAAAGCTCCTCTTGGATTGGTTCCAAGGCTTGGTTGAGCATCTTTCTAAACTTTACTTCCAAAGTCGAGGTAAGAAGCTCCACATCAAAAGGTTGAGATACACCTTCACCTCCACTTGACATGTTTGTCTTACCTGCAAAAATTGTTAATGACGAAAAGATTTCCTCACTTCACTCCGTCATGTGTATACTCTCACACTCGTGTATCACTTGAATAGATAATCACTCTATTGAGCTCACCAATCAAGGCCTTGTTTTCACTCCTTTGAAGAAGTTAGAACCTCCTCAAGTGTATATTGGCTTACCAAAGAAGTCACACAAGTGTAGCGCTTGACTTTAAGGGCTCAATATAAGACAAATGTGACTCAATCAGGTTTGGTGTGAAGTGAATGACGCTGGAAAATGGAACAATTAAAGCTGGAAATTTGCTGGAAGAATACTTAGATGATTGACACAAGGAACTACTAGTTACGTGACACAAACAATTAGCAAATGACCCGACACAAAACTGGAAATTTGGACACTAATTCTGGACTTTAAGGACGAGTTTTATGGCTAGAATTACTAGAAAAATAAGCTAAACAACTGACTCAAGAAAACTATAATGATTTGACTCAAGAACAATAACCTAAAGAGTTTACCGACACTTGTTCTTGTTGCACCAATTAGGAAATAATGAACAGTGGAAATTTCTGGAATAGAACCCCTTCTCCCAATAGAACAAGGACTGAGCAGGCTACAACTCACGAATGTTTAAGGTAATCTGGCAGCTTGTTTCCAAATCACATTAGCTAGTCAAATCCAAATGGAACTACGAAAGGGATAACGGCTGCTGTCTACTCTTCTTGATAGTTCAACCATTTTCAAGAGTCCCTTAACACAATACGAATCAATTTTGGAACCAATTTTGGAACTTCTAAGAATCAAGATTCGTGGCCGGTGTTGCCTCTTTTTTTTCTCTTTTTTTTTTAACTCAGCCAAGAACTTGAAGAACTAGGGTTTTCAGTGGCTGGAATTTTTGCAGCTTTGTTTTTGAGCAAGAATAAGTCCCAAAACCCAGAAAATTTCAAGATTCTTTCAAGAATGCAAGAAGTTAATTTCCAGATTTCAAGAAACACAAAATTGAAGAAGAATCCCCCCAAACAGTCCAAGATTTTCTCGGATTTGAACAAGACAGTTTTTGGGATTATCAAAGCTTCAAGAATCTTGACTAAAGCTTCAAGAACTTCAAGATTTTGTTTTAATCAGTCAAGAACTTCAAGAAACCCCTGTTTTAATTTCGATTTTCCAAGAAATTTGAAAGGTCAGCCCGCTATTTCCTTTTTTTTTTTTTTTTGCAATGCAAACAACAAGAACACAAGATGACGGCTAGATAACGACTCCAAAACCCTAGCTACAAACAAATTTCTTCTTTTTTTTTTATCTTGAACCTCAACTAATTCACAAAAACAACAACAATAAAAGTAGCTGGAACAAGAAACGCAAATAAACAAAAGGAATTAAATTCGGGCAGCAATCAACAAGAGGAAAACCTAACGACTCCATGCAACAACCCTAGAACTC